GTTCCCTCAAGTTTGCTGTTGAAGTGGTTGTTTACGAGTCACTGGTGTCACTAACCAGCAGCTCGGGTTCTCCTAGAAGCAGCTCCTCGTGCCTCAGTGTTGCTCAAACAGCAGGAGAGGCAGGGGATGCTGTAAGGGTCCATTCAATAAGCTGACTGGTATCAGCTGTGTTACCAAAGGTGTTTTCCCTTTTCTCTGCAGGGAGGGATATGAACACAAATACCTAGCAGAACACTAGTTTAAGGTTACAGTGAGATGGGCTTATGCTTTGCTGCCTGTAGGTGCCTGAGGGACAGACTTAGCTCGGTGTGATTCGATTATAAAGAGGACTCAAATGATGATTCTGAATCTTTCCTTCCAGGTTAGGCTCTGCACAGTTAGGACTAAAGCCTGCATGGCACCAGCTTTTGGGAGATACCTACAGAAGAGGCTGTGGACAAGGTCATGGAGAAAGGAGGACGCTCGCCCACCCTGGATCTTGAGTTCCTGCGAGTGTTTGCAGTCACAAACCCAAGTGAATGGTGTTAATCATTATCTCAGGAGACAGCAATGTGTGTGGCTGTCCCATTCAGCCCCTGCTGCTGTGGTCCAACCAAAGGCTGGGAATGAGAGGACTGAAGAGTTCAAATTGGTCTACAGGTTTCCAGGGATTAAGTACTGCAGGGTCCTGTCCAGGCTGAAGCTGTTGCAGACAGCCATCTCTGTGGTCATGCTGCCTCCCATCTGCTACCTTTACCTGCAGGACCAGGTTTCCCAGAATATCTTCTTGTACACAACTGGCCTGGCAGTCTTTGCTGGTGCAATGTTGTATGGGATGAGCTACTTTTTTAGAAGAATTATTGGATTGATCTACCTAAGTGAAAATGGCCAAACTGTCAGAGTGGCCCACTTGACATTTTGGGGAAAACGGAATGATGTTTACTGCCCCATAGAGACAGTGATGACTTTGGATGATACTGGGGACAGGAAGGAGGAGCCACTCCTCCAGTTCAAACGCTATAACAGTACAGATACTTTATATTTTACCATTAAGTATGGCCAGATTGTAGACAGACAGAAGTTCACTCAGATTTTTGGAGAACTCGACTGATACAGCAGCTCATTTCCAGTGATTTTTCTGTGTTATATATTCATTGTGCTTATTCTTCTGTGAGGTTTAACTAGTTTGTCTAACTGACACCTCTTGTTTTCCTATGCAA